CTCTCCTTGCCCTTTATTTCTACTACGCTAAGCGATTCTAGGTCACTGGAAACAGCAGCAAGTGTCTGATGTCTCTTTCCAGTGGCTAGGGATTCAGAAATGAGAGATGTCTCAATGAAAACACATTGGCACAATTACAAAATATACTCAAAATCCAGGTGGATGCATGCTTTAACTTGGGAGGTGGGGGCAAAATGGGTCCCCCTCACCCACATGGACTGCTCCCAGCTCTGGAAAGCACTTGTCCAACATTACAGGTAGCTCTAACTGTGCCCAATAACACACTGCTCTCCTCCTCCAGCGAAGACAAGTATCGGTTATTGGAAAAGCCCAGCTCCCCTTAGAGCAGATTGGGCCTCAGTTTGGTCTTAAGAAAACAATCTGTGTCCATTGGTTATGCTTATATGCATGTGTGTGGGTGGCCGGGGAGAGGTCAATGGGGGGAAAAGGAGACATATGTAATACTATATGTAGTACTTTAAACAGTAAAGAATTTTTTTTAAAAAGAAAACAATCTGATTTTTCAGCTAATTGCTTTCTCTTTTAAGAGGCTGAGTTTAGCCTTTGTATCCTATAGGCCAATGCCAGAATTAACAAGGTCTCTGAGGCAAACCACCAGTGGACATGCCATGACGGGCAAAGACAAGTTCTCACCCAAAATTGTGGGAAGGCCCTCTGATGGCAGAGGAGAGGGTGGAGGAGTGGGGTCAGACCATCAGAAAGAGCAGTTAGGAGGCACTAGAACAGTGGTTCTCAACCTTGGCTGCACATTAGAATCACCTGGGAATCTTTTTAAAGGAATGAGGCCCAGAAATCAGGATTTTAAAAAGATTCCCAGATGATTCTAATGTGCAGCCAAGGTTGAGAACCACTGCACTAGAATGTCCAGGCAGAAAGTGATGTGCTAAGTCAGGGAGGAAGGGGGCAAACAGAAGAGGAATGTAAGAAAAGAGCAAATCTGGGGACTGACTGAATGTGGCGGGTAAAGATGGAAGAGGTAGGAGTCCTTAGTGACATTCATGTTTCCAAATCCAGTTCTGGGAGGCTGTGTGAAAACGCATTTTAAACGCACACACACACACACACACACACACACACACACACACGGAAACCCTTTCCAAATTGTCCATGGCCCCAGGATGGAAACAGACAGCTGATCCGTGAAGAAAATGTACCCCGCGTGAAATACTCTGTAGTTACCCTTAGCAAGGGTTCTCAACACTGGCTGCACGTGAGAATCATTTGGGGAGTTTAACGACTACGCCCAGGCCCCAGCTCAGGCGAGTTGAATCAGAATCCCTGGGTATTTTTCTATCTCCCTTCGCCTTCCCACAAGCACAGGGGATGCTAATGTGCAGCCAGGGCTGAGAACCACAGACAGCAGGGCTATTGGCACAGAGCTGCCCACCTGCAGGAGGGGTCATGGTTGGAACTGTTCACAGGCTGAATTTTAGTTTGGCTCAGCTTTCCCCACGCCCCCCAATATCCCGCTCCCCCATTGCTTGGGGTGAGAGAAACGACCTGACCTTTGATACTCAGCTCTCTGGCAAAATGAGGCAAGGACAGCCTGGTGGGGAACAGGAAAGGAGGGAGCCAGGTGTCCAGCACACGTGCTTCCCCTCTGCCTGCGTGCGGAGGCCGGGGTTCTCACACTCCTGTGCGTCACAGTCAAGCTGGGATCATTGTTAAAGGCAGGTGCCTGGGCCCACTCCCGGCATTAGTCAGGTCCAGGGTGCATGGCCCAGGAATCTGCATGTTAGTGGTTCCCAGGTGACTCTGTCAGAGGGTCATGGCACAAACCCCGAAGCTGAGAGGCCTGCAGGGGGGGCCACAGTGGACGTGTGCAGGGCAGATTCCCCTCCCCTCCACATCCTGGCTCCAGGTCCAGGGGACTGAATCGGCAGGTTTGAGGTAGCCGCCAGTGGTCAGTGTTAGAAGATTAGTGCGGCTCTATCCAAAGGGGGGATGGGAGGGGGCTTCCAGGGGGGAAAAGGGCACCTGCCCCAAGTTTTCATTGTATAACAGAAGGTGGAAGCGAAGCAGGAAGGGCCGTTGGCTGCTTACTCCGTTTCACCAAAAGGGAAGCTGGGGGTTTTCCTAGCCTGACTGGGGGCCGGAAACGAGGAGCCGGAGGAGCCCAAGCAGCAGCCTCTGGCCTTTCAGGACCTGTTTCTGGTGAGTTTCAATGTGAGGTCTAAGGACCAGCATCAGCATCACTTGTGAGAATGCAAATTCCTGGGCCCCACACCCTACTTACTGGCCAGATTCTCTGGGAGTGGGGCCCTCAGTCTGTGTTAGAACAAGGCCTCGGGTGGTGCTGATGCTGTCCAGGGTTGAGGACCCTGCACGGGAGGCTCAGATGCTTCATGCTCGTGGGCTTAGGAAAGGTTCCCCACCTCTCATTCCCTTCCCATGGGGACAGGGAGAAGTCGCACAGCACCCCTCCCCTCCCCTCCCCTCTCTCCACTAGTTACTGAGAAGGTGCTGAGTGACACACAGGCCACATGGGCCAGAGAAAAGGAAGCCAGGTTCCGGGCAGCTGCCACCTGCCCCGCTGGCTGCTCTCCCAGCTGACTCTCGGCTTTGTTTTTCTTTCCTCTCTAAGCCTGGAGAGGGGTGCAGGAGGAGCTTTCCCTGCATGCCTGCCTAACCCCCCAAAGTTGAGGCAACGCTGGTCCAGACGCCCCAGGCCTGGTTCCTCTGTCCTCCCTAGAGATATGGGAGTAGGACTAAGGCTCAGGACACGTCTCCACACAGCCCTCCTCCCGGCCCGGTGCGTCCTTTTCTCTTAAGATGGGCGAGCAAACACTGCTGCTCTGGGGCGGGCTTCAGTCAAAGGGGCTGGTCCTGGACCAGGACCAAAGACCTTCTTTGAAGGGGAGTCCCAGTTCGTACCCACACCTCAGGACGGGTTCTGGCCAGCCCGGCTGCTACAATGAAATGCCAGGCTGGGTGGCTTAAGTAACAGGCACGTGTCTCTCTCGGTTGTTGGCTGGAGAGAAGCTGAGTCGGAGGCTGAGGCCCAGGGCGAGGATGGGCCCAGGGGGGACAGGCGAGTTACCCAGCCCTCCTCCCTTCTCCAGGCCCAATGTTGGACCTCCTCCCAACATTCTGATCAAACAGCAGCACTAATGTGCTCTAAAGAGGGAGTCACTGGGATCCGGACTAATCCAGCCCTGTTGTCGGGGTTCACTATGTGTTACAAGAGAGTTCACAACACTGAAGCAAAACTTTGGGGGTGTACTTGGGTTAAATTAAAAGCACAATTTCCTATTTTCTTGTCAAATGACTTTACTTGAGGCAACAAGTGAAGTATAATTTAACTCAACAGGAAATATCACACTTGGAGGGAAAACACAGAAAAAACACACACCTTAAAGCCAAACATTCTTTCCAAGGCCCAGCGCTGACATTTCCAGACTGACAGCAGAATGAGCGTTTCCATGAAACAAAACTGTGCGTCCAAGTCTGGCTTGGAAAGTTTTCCACTTCATCGCCGCTTCTCAAGGCTCAGGGCACGATGCTTGTGGCCTTCCGCAGGGCCAGGTAGCCAGTGACAACGTCCGAGGGCAGCCTCCGAA